TCAGTCATTCAACCCATAATCAATAAAACAGTAATATGTGCACACGAAACTATGAAAAGAAAACATAAGATCTCATACTGCATTTAAAACCATAAAATGGGCCAAACAACAGTTAACAGACAAACACACCAGACTCGGGCTCCATTAGCGACCTTAAACAATTTCACACATCTGTTGATTCATGAAATACCGTTTTATCATTTATTGAACTTTAATACCGTGATAGGAAGTAGGGTGAGGGGTCTTTACTTGTTTCGGGGTCCGAACACGGCTCCACAGTGCGCCTACAGGCTGTCCCTAATTTTTCCTGAATTTTTTCCAGGGAACTGAAACACACTACTGGTACCTGCACGTGTCCCAAAAAATTCCAAATTAGACCTAGGGCCCCCTTTCGGCCAATATCGCAATTCCGGCACGGCGGCTCCGCCGTGCTCCGGCGACGGCGCCGCCGCTTGCGGCGGTGATTCACCTCGAGTTGGCCGTTTCCGGCCGAATTTGGCCACACTTGCATCGGTCCCTGCGATAAAACAACCCTAGGGCCCTCGGGGGGCCAAAAAATTACGAAAAACCGAAGCTTATCGGCGGCGGTGCTCTCGGGTGCGGCGGCTCTCCGGCGAGGTTCGTGTTTTGATGATTCGACTCCGATCAACCTGTAGAGAAAAGAATGGTGATCACGCTGATATAAAAATTGTATCAAACGGAGGCCGGGAAGTGCCTCATCGGAGGCAAAAACCGAGGAGGGGCGCGGCGGTGCCGCTGGGTTTCGGCCGTGTTTTTCCAGCCGTTTGGCCGGGATTTTGGCTCCGATTTGGTCACAGGGGAACTCAGCGTGGAAAAACGAGTCGGGAGTATGAAATTTACCTCGATCGGCGGTCGAAAAACTCCCCGGTGCGGCGGTGGGTGGCGGCGGCCGGCTCCTCCGGCGTCTGGTTCGTCTTCTCCGGCGAGGGCAGGCGGCTAGGGTTTTTGTGGTCAGGTGTGGGGGTTTTATTTATACCCTTTTGCCTTTTGATCACAGCCGTCCATTTTGGTTAAATCTGGGCCGTCCATTCTTGATTGAATCTGGGCCGTCCGTGCGATTGCATCTAGGCCGTCCGTGCGCGCGGGGACGCATCTGGGCCGTCCGATCGCGCGCACGCGGATCACCCACGTGGCCCGTTCCCCGGTCGACGTGGTCTTGCCACGCGGCAGGTCCTGGTTGGCCAGGGCTGCTGACTGGGCCGCTGACGTGGCGCTGACGGGGCACAATTTTTTTAAATTGCGTTTTGACACCCAGTTTCCGATTTTCTTTTCAAAAATACCCCCAAAATCCTAATTTTCACCCATTTTTTCCAAAATCAATTTCAATTAAATCTAAATAATAATTTTTTTTACCCAATTTTACAATTATTATTATTTTTATTATTATATTAAATTAAATTAAAATAAACAAAATAAAATAAAATAAAAAAGAAAATAAAATTAATCATAATAATAATAAAAATAATTTAAAATTATTTGGGTGTTACAGGTCTGCCCTGATTCTGGTTCATTGGCCACTCTCTCGCATAGTGTTGGGCACTACCACATATGCAACAGGTGTTATTGAGGCGGTAGCATGGTCGGTCCCCGTGATCCCTGCCGCAATGCTGACAGATCTTACCACGTCCTGCCACTGGAGTCTGAGGGGGAGCATGCATCACTGGTCTGGGCCTCTTGTTCTGTTGGACAGGCGCAGTAGGTGCGGGGTGGAACTGAGGGTTTGTGGTTCCCTACTGACTGAGGGAGGGTGTGGAGATTCTTATCCACTAACTGTGTCTTAGCCAGAACGGCCGAATAAGTCCCGAGCTCCAATACAAACAAATGCTGCTTGATCTCTGGGCGGAGGCCCCACTGGAACCTCCTAACCTTCCTGCCCTCATTCATCGTCTCAGGGGAGTATCGGCCTAACTCCAGGAACTTACGAGTATATTCTGACACAGTCATGTTCCGCTAGACCAACTGGACAAACTCCATCTTCTTCAGATGTCGGATGTGCTCTGGGAGGTACTCTGCATGAAAGGCTGCTAGGAACTGTTCCCAAGTAACTGGAACAGGCAGGGTAGTCTGCTTGAGTTCTCACCAGCGTTCTGCTTCTCCCACCAGCATGTAGGTAACAAGGGTGACCCTCTGCTTGGGAGTCACCCCTAAGGTGTTGAAGGCCTTCTCCGTCTCCGCCAACTAGTACTAAGCATCTTCAAAAGAGGATTCTCCTGCAAAAGTAGATGGGTTCAGTTTTCTGTACCTCTCTATGTAGCCTGGGTCAATCGTGGGAGGAACTGGATCCCGTGGAAGAGGGACTGGGCCAGGTTGAGGATAGACTGGGGGCCCTGTGGTGGTACTTGCTAATATGGTGGGGGCACTGGATTATACTGTGGCGGTGCCGGGCAGTACTGTGGCTGGGGCACTGGATTATACTGCGGCGGTGGTACCAGGTGGTACTGTGGAGGAGCAGGGTCGTACCGAGGTGGCTCAGGGTCCTCTCGCTGCAGTGGTGGCTCAACCTGTGGCAGCAGGGGAGGGTCAGGTAACTCCCTCTTCTCCTCTCGGCCCTGCTGGGCCGCAATGAGTCTTTCTAACATCTCAAATATCCTGTCCACGTCTTCCCTGAGCGAACCCTTCTGGGTTGCCCGGTTTAGTGGGGGTCTTCCTCTTCTCATCTCTCTATACCTACATTTCACAAGAAAGAGTTGAGTGATAATTTATTGTTTGGTGTTTCTCTAAGTATTATTGTGTAAGGGATGCCGAGGAACGCGGCTCTGATACCAACTATAATGGCTCCGGAAATTCAAAAGAAAATACATATAATAATATGAGTGCAGAAGCGAAATAGAAGATTAAAGTTAACATCCCTTACACAATAATTTAAAAGTACTAAACAATATCAGAGAATAAGTTCTCTAAAATAAATACGAGAAATGAGAAAAATAAAGGAAATTATAAAGCATCTAGCATCTACTCGCCGTCTTCTTGTAAATCGGGCTCGGGAACCAGGTCCTCCTGATCTGAAATGGTTAAATAAGAAATGAGTTACACTAGCTCAGTAAGGACATCACACTATATCACCGTCATAGAAGTAAAGGTTGGTAGAAAACTAAAAACAACCAATGGAGCACAAATTTTAAACCAATACATTTATTTAAAATAAAACCATTTACCATTTTTATTACCCTTGGAGAACCTGTGAAAATAACCTATAAAGACAATAATATCATACAGATTACAATTTCATGCATAATCAGTAACATAAAATATATCATAAATTCGTATTCATTAACAATAACTGATTATCACTGTTTCTCGTTTTCACCAGCCTACTAAAATCCATGGGGATCCATAGGGGTGTTCCCACTACACGTGAACCATTTTTCTTAACAGTCTAAATTCAAGGGCCGTCCTCATATCTCGTCCGGTATGAGTACCAAAACATTAAATCTCAATACCCCGTTTGATATGAGGGTGAAGCGGGCCGTGCCCATACCCCGTCCGGTATGAGCGCCAAATGATCAAGTCTCCATACTCCGTCCGGTATGAGACGACGTTCACGGTAGGGTTCTCTATGAACCTGGTCCGTCCACCATCTTTCAGGATATCTAGTGAGGCTGTTACTTTATCTGTTTTCCCTTAGTCTCCATTATCAAGTTGAACATAATCACATAAACAATAAATATGCACTCGGTAATACAATCGTACCTTAAATTCCAAAATCATACAGTGGTCAAGTAAGACAGTAACATATACATTTAAAACCATAGAATAGATAGATCAGATATCATAATGCATTTAAACTGTAAAATAAATCAAGCAGGAATCGACAGAGAATAAATTAGTCCGGTTCGGGCTCCATTAGCAACCTTAATTAATTATGCATATATATTAATTTGCACACAATACAGTATTGCCATTTATTCGAACTTTAATTCCATAATGGGAAATAGGGTTAGGGGTTCTTACTTGATTCGATGCCGAAAACTAGATTGTTACTGCGCCTACGGGCGGTCCTTGGGTTCCGTAAATTTTTTTTCGGGAATTGAAACGCACTTACGGTACCTACACATGTCCCAAATAACCCAAAAATAAGACCTAGGGCCTACTCGGCCAATTTCGGAATTCCGGCACGG